CATACCTACATATATACATTCACATATACGGGCACAAATACAATTATTCCAACCATTTTTATGTCAGGCAAAAAGACAACCACAGTGTCAAAAGTGTATGACTTTTAGCTGGAATTCAGAAGAGAAAAAGGACTGGAACAAGTAGTCCAACTAATTATTGAACATCAATGGATTCCATGTATATACACAGAAGGGGGAAAACGGGTGGGATTCAATTTTTTTAACAACCAGTTCTGTGGGTGTGGCTTAGTTGGTGGGCGTGGCTTGGTGGTCATGTTATTCGCTGGGCGTGGCCAACTCAATATCACTCACATCGAGGCACCATCTCCTCGCCTGTCCTCTCGTGACTATGGGGATGCTGCAACAGTAGTAAGTGTGAAAAATGGTCATAAGTCACTTTTTTCAGTGCCATTGTAACTTTGAATGGTCACTCCACACAAGCAAAGTACCAGCAAAGAAGGGGAAAAAAACTCCAGAGAAGTTCCTGAGACAGGAAGTCTAGTCCTGCCAAGAATGTAATAAGGGTTAACGGAGAGGCAATTTCTGTAAGCAACACCAGAATGTTTCCTTCCTGCCTTCCTTACAGGATTAGGCCAGTAATTTCTTCTAACAACCAGTTCTCCAAACTGCTTAGAATGTTAACAACCGGTTCTAGCGAATAGGTGCGAACTGGTAGAATCCCACCCCTGGGGGAAACCCTTGATAAAAATAATATGAAATTTGGCTGTTGTGTTACAGAAATACCTACTGTAATACAGAAGCACATTTTATAAATTGGAGTTTTTCCCTTTTATCTTCTCTTATTTTACATTGTAATCGTCTGTCTTGCTGTATTTTGGAATTTTAGCTGTATTTGAGCTGTTTATTTTATTGTTTGCTAGACTGAGGCACCTTCACATGTCAGGTAACAAAAGAGATGGATAACCATAGATACCTATTACGTTCTGGGCATTAGAAAACAACAAATAAGTTAACCATATGGCTTATGAGGATTTGTTTTCTTTAATTGGTATTCATTAGCAGTCTCCATGACTCATCATCTTTTTATTATGCAAAAAGAAATACGTCTTTGTGTATATTGACAATAGACTTTTCATTCACATTTGCATTTTTGTATTTCAGAAATACATGATAAAATGTGTTAGTGTTCCTTGTCTTGTTGTTGTATTTGGTAAGAATTTAGAATGTTTAAAATCTTTTCTCAGTTAGTGTATATTCTCAGTGCTCTCAAGTAACTTCTGAATACATACATACATATCCATCAATTCATCCACGTATATCTCCACCTTCTCACCCATTTATTACTCTCACAATCAGCAGTTCACTGATACTAAATGAACTATCCCAAAGACACTTCTCAGTGCAACCCCTCACCTCCCTTGTCGTAGAAGCAACTGCAATAAACTCCACCTCATTTTCCCTAGCCAGGAGATACAGTAAGCCATGCAAAATTCTGCTATTACCAACTGGATGAGTAGCTCATGACCGGTATTTTGAAGAATGTTTTGCAAATGGTTTTCATAAATTTCAGAGATAGCTTCAGGACCATAAAGCCTACAGAAAGATGTCCTCTTTGAGTTGCCATTTGCAAAGGTCCTAATCAAGTATCAAGTGCAGCCATCAGTACAAGTTCAACTTCTCCCTCAGGACACTGCTGTAGGGAATTGCATGCCAAAACAACTAGACACAGGGACAGTTTTTTTCCTTGTGCCATCACACTGCTGAGCACCTAATCCTCACAGTATTGTCTTATTATCATTCTTTCAATCAAAACTCTTTTAAAATGCATAGTATTATTTAAAATTTATAATGGCTCCCTAATACACATAGGTGTCAACATTCTGCTTATAAAAGAAAAAAATCCTTAATGTTAGAATTAAGGAGACCAAACACATATCTTGGGGAATGTGTCTAGCCTTCTCGTCCATGCTCCTCTTGCCAAGGAAGGACCTTCAGCAGACCCTGTCTAGATGTCATCACCAAATCATATTAGGTAAGGCAATCCCTTAACAAGAAGGTTCTTTGACCATAGACTGTTATTTGTCCATAATCCTTCTAAACCTTAATATTCTTAAATAGATTTGGAAAGGCGTAGCAAAAAGAATCAAGCTCGGCTCAGTAGATATGTAATCTTCAAGAGCAGGGAGATTGTAATCTGGACATCTTTTTCTTTTTTAATTACTTCTTTAGAGTTGATGGGTATAGGAAACTATATGCTAAAATGCATTTTCGTCTTTACTTCTGGCTTTTCCATACCCTATAAGCTTTTTCCTCTCTCTACACAGGTTTCTAAATCAAGGTGATACTGAATATATACCTATCATGTATTCCATTTTGGGGTAAACAATGTAGGGCAGTGATGGCTAACTTTTTCGGCACCGAGTGCCCAAAGCCCGTGTGTGTGTACGCATCCCCAAAATGCAATACACATGCATCTCTCCCGCGCATGTGCATGTGTTCCCCCATGCATGTGCGTGCATCCCCCGTGCATACACCTCACCCTCATGTATGTGCATGTGTTCCCTGTGCAATGCACATGCGTCCCTCCCCCCATATGCACCCCAACCCCCACTCATGGGTGGCAGAGACCCAAAGAACAGCTGGCTGGTGGGAGGCATGTGCACCTATGTGTGGCAGAACTGAGCTGGGGCGACAGCTCACATGCCCACAGAGAGGGCTCTGTGTACCACCTCTGGCATGCATGCCATAGGTTTGCCATCATGGATGTAGGGAGAGTGCAGAAAAGGGTAAAAAAATATTAAATCAAAGAAATTAAATACCTGAGATAAGAAAAAGAAACATAGCATAATCTAATTTACATTTATTTAAATATCTCATTATACTTCTCTGTCCTTGCAAACTGTCATTACTTGCAGGATATCTATATTGCAACCACTTCATACATCATATTTTCTTCATTAACATCTCACATTTTTCAGCTTTCCTCTTCCTCTCAACTTATTTTGGAGCAGGATTCTCATTCATTCTCTCAATATGAGTAAATCATCTCAACGTATTTCTTTTGTATGTGTCATTTCATGTCCATATGTATTTAGTAACTATTCACAGTTTATTCTTTCTCTCGCTCGCTCGCTCACTCACTGTTGCAATCTCCCACTTCTTTGCTAATACTTTTTAAGTACATACAATTCCTTTATATGCTTATACATACAGCAAATACATTTTTGTTCTACATTCAGTTTATTTATTTTTTCATGATATATCCAAATCTCATTTCTATATCATATGCTGGGAGAAGCATATTCCCAGGACATGATGTAGAAATGAGATTTGGATATATCATGAAAAACATAAAAATAAACTGAATGTAGAACAAGAAATGTATTTGCTGCAATTCAGGACCATTTTCATTCTTTTTGATAAACACTCATTCATCATAACAAACCACATATTACTTACCATCCCTTTACCAATATTTGTACATCTTATATTTCTCATTAATATCTTTAATAAACATTCCACCAAAGTATAGGCATTCATCTACTTGCTGTAATTTTCATCGTTTATTTTTAACTTGTGCTCACTCTGTATTTTCGTTATCAAGGACCAAGACCTATCCCGATGATACTTTTATCAGTTTCAGTATAAATTAATATATCATTTTAGTATGTTCTGCAGTATAGATGCCTTTGACCTGATAGTCTTTTTTCTTGGTCATATGTACATTCTTTGCAATGTGTAGTTCAACCAAGTCAGTGTTTTCATTTTTAATCTTCAATATTTAGTCAACCTTCCCCCAGAAGCAAATTGCATTCTTAATCTATTGCCACTTAACCAGAACATTTTTCATTACAACAAATTTTCTTCTTATGGAAAATATTTTTTGTCTCTTAGTGAAAATATAATGCAAAACTTGCCCCTGTGCTTTTTGTTTCTATTATTATCTCATTGCTTTTTAAATCTTATTCTGGGAGATGGTCAGCCTTGGAAGATAGAGCTCTAATAATTGATCTATCTAACTCAATGCTATGTGTACTAAATAGCAGAATCTCTTCAGAAATTATACTTCAATACATTTTAGATTTTACTTTCAACCAGATACTATAATAAAACTCCAACATTTTTTAAAATCTAAGTCATTTGGCTTTAAAAAATAAAATCAATTTTGAAATGTTTTAATATGAATGTATGGTTAACTGGGAGTTCATGTCGCATTCTTGTATTTAATACCAGCCCATGTAAATTATGGATGAACTATTAGATGAAAAGTAATTAATTAATAGATAAAAATCAGCACCTTTTCACCTGGCTGCCTGGTAAATTTCACAACTAAAGGATAAGAATTATTCAGTTCAAAGAATTATTAAGCTATAAATAAATCCATGGCCAAGTTTCCTTGCTTCTACAGAAACATTGAATTTAATTTTCTTGAGGATATAAAGATTAAACAAATATTTGTTTACGCTCCATATAACCCCTGCTTTTAGCAATAGAAAGTGTAGCAAAATTAAAGGATTGTATCTTGAGATATTAGAGAGTCAAATACCATTTAAAATATTTGGGAACAAAATATGACATGACAAAGAAAGAAGGCTAGCAGAGATACAAGTATGTGCAGAGTAATGTACCACAATTCCTCCCCCCATCCAAGCCCCAAATCACTGCCGTCAGTTAAGGCAGTGCAGCAGATGACCAGGATGAGCCTGAGGGAAGGATCAAATGTGTCATAAGTCACAAGTCCCTGCAAGAGATCTAAGTCTACCAGTTTTAGTCCACCTGTCTACCTTGAATGCCTCTCTTATCTCCCACTCATTTCCCTTGACCGCCAGTTGGTTAGATTCTTATAAAGAGCTTAAGCTTTCAATAAATCTTTATACTGATTTGAACTGCCTGGATCTCCTGATTTCCCCAGCCCTTGACAGGCAGCGATTGAAGATTCCACCCTCCCACCTACTGTAAAGAAGCCCCAAGAGAACTGATGCATTTTTGAAATGGGAACGTTTGAAAACTTGTCTTGTGTTTTCTTTGTGTCTTCTCAGAGCTGCTCTTGTGGAAAATATTCCTGAAGGCATAAACTATTCAGACAGTGCACCATCCCATTTGTCTCTTTTCCAGGGGTGGATGAATTTACTTAATATGGCTAAAGCATCTGTTGACATAGTGTCTTCCCAATGGAACCTCAGTCACAGTCATCCAACTCCATGGCAGGTACATTTTTTACAAAAATTTCAAGTCTTATTGTCTGCTTGGTTTGCAATTTCACTTGCCTGAGTCTGAATCCTTCAGGTTTTATTTAAATAAGAAAATAATTTCTGATTATTCTCATTGTGAGATTGAAGCAATTGCCTGTAGAATAGCCTTTCAGAGTAAGTTATAATATTTCAGATCATATACGTTTAATACTGAAAATGGTGATACCAGATTATAAAGAGTTTCCTAACTTGATCATGGACTTTTTCATGTTTTATTATAATGATATTTTTCATATGTATTTAGACAGAAAATAAACTTCTTTTTAAAGAAACCTCTTTCAAAATTACTAAATCAGTTTACATACTCTAATAAACTGTCCGGGCATTCTCCTGATTCTTGGATTGCAGCTGCAATTCTGGGAATTGTAATGTAATGAGAATGGGAAGATTGCAATAAAGGATAAAAACAGTGCCCATTGTGTCAGTCAAATTTCTTTCTGTTTGTTCTTTAGTAATATGTTAGTTTATCACAGCTGGTTTTTTTCTATAATTAGAATAAAAAGTATTTCTAATGTATGGCAAATATAATTTTTGTGCTGTTTGTGAAGTCTCATAGTAATGAGAAGGAAATTTTATTGTCTACATTATTTTTATTTAAAAAATGATATAATTCATGAAAATTATACAGTATTTTGATGAAATAGTTTCAAGTTAAGGCTATCGGCAATTTAATTAATATTCTTTAAATACAAGATCACAAATTGGTTAAACTAGGATATTCCGGCTCCATAATTCAAAATTCCTGTAAGTTACAAATATCTATCGAATATTGTTCAGCTGTCTATCAGAAATTCAGTAGGATTGTTTGTTTTAAAATACTGTATTTACAGCCTACCTCAATTCAAATGGACTCAGGAATTTGGAAAGTTTAGACTCTTCCAAAACACTTTCCAATATAACAAGTGATTTAGAGGTTTAGGAATTGCTAACAATTAAGATGTGAACTGTGAAGTCAAAAACTGTTTTAACTGAATGTTTGTTTATTCCAACTCTGGCATTTAGCATATCAATACATTTATAAGGAATACTTAAGATAATCCCAAACATAATATTATTTTTTTGCTCTCTAAAGAAGGATTTACCTGCAATTTTTAAATTGATATAATTTTAATTTGTCCGTTTTTCATATAACCAGAGGCTGAACTGTCACAAAATCAGCCAAACAGGCCTTGAAAAAATTCAGTTTTTGCAACCTTTGTTGTTGCAAAAACTGATTTTTTTGGTAAAAGAACAACCAAGCCCCTGGCGAAATATTGGTGAGATCAAGTATTAACATTATAGCTGTGCACATAATGATTTTGAGAAAGATCATTTAGATACCATTTAAAAAGTTAGCAAATTATTTCCCACGGTGAAAGATGGATATCTAGAGAGTTAAATCTTCTTTGTAGAGAAATTGCAATTTAAATAGAAAAAAACACCTCAGTATCTGTCCATCCCCATGCTAAGGGGTCTCTCTTTGTAACTGTGTATAAATCTAGACTTATATTCATTCAATAGCAATTTTTCTGCCCCAATAAATTCATGGGAATCTTCAGTCATCTGTTTGTATCAGCAACTCATTTAACAACAGTCTTGCTTAGCAATGAAAATTTGAGGCTCAATTGTGGTCATAAGTCAAGGATTACCTGTACAAGCTCATTCCACCTGTGTGTTGCATCATGTATGGCTGTGTCTAGAATTACAGACATTGATTCTTTAGAGTCAGATGGCTTCCAAACAGAAAGCCACTATGTTTTGTTGAGAAAAAGCCTGCTTCTCATCACCAGGACCTTAACAACTTACAGGTGTGCTCAAAAATGTAATTTGTATTGTATCAAAGCTTTTTTTTTTTTTTGCATTCAGTAGATAAACCACCATCAAATTCAAATTTCTGTCAATGCATTTTCTAAAATGCTGATTAGCAACTTAATGTAATTAGAAGCTTGCAATATCATCCTACCTGGCAATTCTTTTAAAAAGTCAGAGTACATAAGATGAATTTTAGATGTAATGTAGTTTGCAATCTCCATGCCAAAGATGCTGTCAAAATTTAGCATCTAATTGCTTTTCAAAATTGCTCACTGATTTTTGTGATAGTGTAAAGGCTTCCAATTATTTTAACTTTTGGCTTAAAATTAGACATCTTGCATAGTGTTCTTTTTTAAGAGGAATGCAAGATATCCTTCTGCCTGATATTATCTACATGACTTTGTAAGCTTCAAATCTTTTTCCAGACAATAGTTTTAAAGTCTTATAAGAAGCAGTATCATATAATATAACATGGTATATTATACACCTCCATATATACACACAGATACAATGGCATTGATTTTTTTAAAAAAAGTTTATTAAGGATTGTTTCATTGATTAAAGAGAGACAGGAAATAGTATAAAGATTAAAGAACAGGAAAGTGAGGTGAGGTGAAAAAGTAAGAAAAGTGTGAAAGGAAATATAGATAGAAGAAAAAAGAAAAGAAAAAATATAAACTTTCTTACAGCTGTTGTAACAAATTTATCCTTTTTCCTTCCTCATTAAAATTACATAATCATTATCTTCTTCTCATAATCAAACCTTTTTAATCAGCAAATCCATATACAACCAGTTCATTTTTTTTCATTTTCAAGCAAAAATCTATAAAAGATTTCCAGTCTTTAATAAAGATATAATTGTCATATCCCTAATTAGGTCAATTTTGCCATTTACACATGTTTCATCATCTTTACAATCCATTGTACCATTATAGGCATTTCAGTATTGTTCCAGTTTTCTGCATACGGTGGTCATATTGCAATTACCATATGCAAAACTAATCTTCCATAAGTCTTTTTTAATTGGTTATCCATAAATCCTAGTATAAATTATTTTGATTTCTTTTGAATGTGAGTCTTTAGAATTCATTGCATCATTATATTTATTTGTATCCAATATTCCTTATTTTCCACAAATCTACCACGCATGTTAAAATGATCCTTCACATTTTCCACATTGTCAGCAGTGATTGTGTCTTTATACATCTTAACTTATTTCTCTAACCCTAAACCCCAGGCAATGGTGATGTCACTGGTTGATCCTTTTACCACAGAAGCACTTTGGTGCTTCTGACATAGAAGTATAGTATCATGCACTGTTTAACTTGCTCTTCCTCCATTTCATATCTCAGCCAAAGTTTGTACACCCCGTATTCATCATTTGTATACAATTCAGTATCAGGGTCCATTTTATCTTTTTTTTCAATTCACAATTACCCTTTTATCTATATTAATCTCTTTTTAATTGTGTATATAAAAACCATTCAAAAATAAATTGCAGTCAATTGTTCTTTTGACTTCCTTTTAAGCTTCCCAGGTTCCATAAACACGTTGATTTTATATATTATGTAATCCCTGCTCATCTCACGGGTCCCTTCCTTTAAATCAGAGGTCTCCAAACTTGGCAACTTTAAGACTTGTGTGAATAAGTGCTTAAAGTGGCCAAGTTTGGGAATCCCTGCTTTAAATGCTGCCATTTTATGGGCCTGACGAAGTGTGCCTTTTTTATGGTAGCCTCTGCCCTATGGAGACTCTTCCTCATGAGGTCTAGAAGCTCCCCACCTCCTTAACCTTCTGAAAAGCGCTTAAGACCTAGGTTTTCCACCAGTTGCCAAGGTTGGCATGGATGAACCTGTTATAGGATGCATGAGAAGGTTTAGTTGTAGCACCTAGCCTTTTTTTGTTTTAATTCAATTTTTAAACATTGCTTTTATTTTTTGGGTTGTGAACTGCCCAAAGTTTGGTTTATAATGGGTGACCATATCAATGTTTTATGTAAGTAAATAAATAAATCTTTTCCTTCTAGGGGCAGCAAATTTTTGAAAAATTAGAAGAATTATTGTCCCAAAATATTGAAATCAAATTAGTGAGTGATATTCTTCACAAGAAGTCCAAATTACTAAATGACTTGGAAAAAAGGGGTAAGAGCATGAACTTTGTTTTTTCTTATTATAGTGATAAAGTCATATTGCTTACATCACACTTATGGGTTGTTGATATGGTATGCAAAACCATTCTGGATTATGCCTTGTAAAGTCAAGCATTTTCAATTTTCACCGGGTTCTGTGGAAAAGTTGAACACGATTAAGCATTTTTTATTGTATAAATGGTTTCACTTTGATCAAATTATGCCAATTCATATTAAAACAGAAAGCAATGTTGCTGGATATGTAAATCTTCAAAATGATGCTGATAGTAAACAAAGAACAAACTTAAAATGCACTCAATTTTTTTCTGCAATATTACATTGGCATGAGGCATAGATGACAGCTATATGACAGCTTTTATGGTGGTAGAGTGAAATCTGTTTCTCTGTGTTACTTAATTTTGAATCATGATGATTTTAAAACAGACCAATCAAGTCAAAATGGAAATATACTTTATAAACCATATATTTTAATATGGCACACTCTGAGAGGAGACATAATACATTTTTGTATTAATAAGCTTTAAACAAATAATTGAAATTAAGCTGTCTGCATATTGGAAAATAAACATCTATTAGTATTATGAGAGAAGCTGAACATTTTTCTGTCCCTGTGATACAGCAATTAATAATATATAAGTCCTACAAAATGTATAAATAAAATTAACTATTTACTACAGAATCCAAATATAGTTTTTAATCCATTATATAGATTTCAGATTTTTTTGCCCATTTTATACATAAAATAATGAAGTGTTCAACTTTATTGAAATATTTATTCTATGTACTACAGTATTTATTTGTTTCAGTTTTGTCAAATAATAAATTTTCATGTTGTAATTGATGGATAATGAAGCAAAATTGGATATTCTCCATTTACAATACAATTTAATTATTTTATTGGTAAAGTGTTTATATAGTACTGAAGACCTAGAAGATCGTTGCGTTTAACAAATCAGTTTTTTACTGAAATAAAAACATTTTGAGCCAAACAAATCAAAGCTATATCTCTATTTTCTTTAACAAAAAATGTATTTCATTTGCATTATTATTAAATTTAGAAACTACACAAACATCCTGATAGGTAAAATTAATCCTGGCACTATGAGCATTTATTTTAGAGCATTATTTGCATGATTGTGGCATATGACAAAGTATTAAGTAGTTCGTCAAATAGTGTGTTTTTTAAGTTACATCCAAATCTAGTGCTTCTTATATACTTAGGGTACAGTATGTCTGCTTGGAGTGGCAATCAATTAAAAATAAATGGTCTTGTATTGCTGGTTTGATAAAGGATACATTTCATATACTATAACTAAATAATATAACTATATTACTAAATAAATAGTTTAAAATTTCAAAAATTGAAACCTTAATTTTTCTTTTGTCCCATGTATTTATTTTACAATATTTTATAATTGCGATTTTACAATTGCTATTGTAACTGATATAATTTCTTAAAAATGCAAGGCTAGCAAAGAGGACATTGATGGAATTTGCCTAAATTGTCATGTTTTATGGAGAAGTTCAAGAATGGTGATACTTATTAATAGGAAAAATAATGTATAAGCAATTTAAAATTTCCATAATTTTAAATCAGGTGCAAATTTCTCCTTTTAATAACCCATCTCTGTTCTTCATTCTGCATTTACAGAAATGCAGAAATACCTCAGCTATCTCTCTATATCTTTACCTTGCTACTATTTTAATAGGGTTTTTATGCTTTTATATAACTCATAGTTTACTCTCATCATTTACTATGTCCATGTCAGGCACTAAAAGGGCCTACCTAGTGAAGACACACATTCAACTCACCAATACTTTAAATCATTATCGTGTCAACATTCAATTATTCAAGATGCTCTATGGGAATGTAAACTAATTTTTATACAAAGTTTCATTAACCAAATATTACGGGGAGAAAAACAAGTTCAGGGATTTTATTGTTAGCAAATATTCTGAAGCCTAAGGTTAGATGCACTGCATCTATTTGGGAGGTGGGAGGTAAAAGTTAAAAAAAAAAAAACAACTCCCATTCTGGAACATCTTTGTAACTCACATCAAAATCAGGCTCATTTTCTCATTCACTTTGCAGGGAGGTGTGCAACCAGATGCTGTGATGAGATGGCCAACAGAATGGTGGTAAGTTATCCTAGAATGAGAAAATAACGTGGAAATTTAGACATGCATATATAAAAGAAAAAGAAATTTGGAAAATAAAAATTGGAAAAACCTCCCTTAAGTTCCCATGAAGCTTCTATATTTGAATGTTGACACTTAAGGATTCAGTGCGATCCAGTGAATTGTATTTGGATTTGGATGTAAACTTTGATTTTACTTCCAATCTTTCATAGACTTGTTAGATGATCTAGTGCCATTCATCTGTCAGTCTACATAAATGAAAAAAAAGTCCTATTCAAATGAACAAGCAACCTGAAATCTATCTGAGTCTGCATTAGAGTAGTGGGCTTTTCATTTTATTTCATGCTGCTATTGTACAAAAGTTGTCTCTACTTTTTTACCAAGTGCCAGTAAGAGATTTCAAAATTGCAGATCTCCATGGTGAGTTCCTAAACACAAATGTAAGACATGTGGAATGTATGCCCTGCAGATTCTGTTTCAAGCTTGTTGTTCAGTTGTATCTGAAATGGGGAAGGATGAAAGAGAAATTCCAAATTATGAAGCAGACTATTCAAATGTATCATAGAATTAACATAAAATATTTATAGGATACTCTGTTAAATGTCTCATAACATTGGGAAGCTATGACATCTATTGGGCAAGGGATTTGCAGACGAGACTTCCACTCTTTAGGAGGTTATTTAGAAACACAGTAATGTCAGAAGGAACATTGTGTTAGAGAAAATTAATGATAAAAGTGAATAAAAACAATAAATGATGGAAGTAAACTTGTCCCAGAATAAATGGAATGGTTCAGAAGAGGCTCAGCATTGAACAGGAAGTAATGTGTGTGATAATACCTATATATGATTTAGACATTTATGGAGAAATGCATAATGGAATGCTTGTAGTGACATTAGAGATATATTAGTTGGGAATGTGAATGTCTATGTAGAGTACTTTTGTATAAAGAGGATACCCAAACAAATTGCAGCAAATTTAAGATAGATTATATGAGACAGTAGAGAGTATGGCCCAGAGGTAATGCTTCAGATAATCAATTGTATCTGGCAGGAAAATGGAGTGACTCATTGCATATGTTGTGTATAAATGTGAAGAGTTAAAGCAAGTAGGTGAATTTCTGAACCTTAAGACAGTGTTTATTCAAGATTAGAACATGAATAGATAAGATTTTAAGAAATGCAGATGCTGGTAGAAAACAGTGGATAGTTAAACTAGATATTTTAATACTCCTTATACATGTATTATATCATATATATCAGCGGTCGCCAACCAGTGGGCCACGGCCACTGGTGGGCTGTGAGAAAATTTTGGTGGGCCGCAGAGAAATCTCACCCCCAGAACACCCCCACAAAGCAATTAATCCAGGCTGCACAGAAACACAAGGCTGCGCCGCCCACATGGCCCGCAGGAACCCTCCCCGCCCACTCACTCCTTACCCGGTAAACTTGCATGCTAAATTGCTATTTTTCCTTTTTCCGACCATCATCTGTTCTGCTGTTCCGGGAGATTTAGATTAGCTAGGAAGCAGAAAATGGTTGGGTTTCTTGCTTTCTAGCTAGTCTTTAGATCTTCGGTTCAGCACAGCCGAACCTCCCTTAGGATTGAAGGTTTGCTTGTAAGCAAATTTAGTGCAGACTCACGGCAAGCAAATTTGAGAGATTGAGCTAGCCGATGGCAGATAGATCACTGAATGATTCTGTGAGCAACTCAATCTGCCTGTTTTGCCTGATTTGGGGTAAAAGTTGCTCTTTTTTATAAAAAATTCAATATTTACATGCATGGTGTGTTGTGAGTTAATTTTGTGAGTTTGCTTGCAAGCAAATTTTATGTGACAGACTGAGCTAGCCAATGGCAGATAGATTCTGAATGAATCTGTGATTCTGTGAGCAACTCAATCTGCCTGCCTGCTTTGCCTGATTCTGGGTAAAAGTTGCTCTTTTTTATAAAAAAATCAATACTTATATAAATATTTATAATATTTACATACAAGCCATGCCCAGCCAGTCACATGACCACCAAGTCACACCCACAAATTAGGCCATGCCCACAGAACTGGTTAGTGGTCCCTGGGATCTAAAATTATTAGTTTGGTGGTCCCTGAGGTCCAAAAGGTTGGTGACCCCTGATATATATTATATATTAATTCTTATATATTAATATATATTAATTCATATATATTAATTCTTGTAGCTTCCTAGTTCTTGCTCTATTTCTGCACTGTGAAACTTCTGCTTACTGTTAAAGGGAATAGAATGATGTATGTATGTTAATCAGAGGTGGGTGATCACCATAATGTATGAAGGGAAAACAAAAAATAAAAATATACCATGCAAATCTAAATCTAAACTGGGAAGTATCCTACATGTGTGAGAGATAAAGATATATTATGCAGCTTTAATTCTCAGTAGGACATGCCATATTTGCCTTTGAGCATAAATACTTGCAAAATGCTTTTTGATTATGTGACTTAGTATAATGAGGTAGATAAAAGAAACTTGGCATACAAGAAAAAATATACAAAACATTAATTTTCCTATGATTGCAGAGATATACTGTGAAGCTGGAAAGTAGGTCAATATTAGAAAAGGTTAAGTTATTAATACTCAAATATATGAACAATGTATATTTACTGTATAAATAGTTGGAGAGATACAGAATTTATTTTTTAAAAAATTGGATTTTACTATGCAGCTATTTAATTAAATCCAAACTGTTATGTATGAGGCATGGGTTTAATGAACGGAGACCAGACTGTAAACCTTGAACTTCAGCTCTTTATTCACAAGCATAACAGAGACAAAAAAACCCCGGCTAGCAGTCACTCTTTTATAGTGTAAGCTGCTATCCGGA